AGCCCCCAATACAAATTTCACTCCATAAGCCATTTTGTGTTGACTCGTCTACTCTCTCTTACAAGTGCGACCTTTCAAAGTTTCGACTCCACAAAGCAAACAGTTGTACCAATCTACTAGTCCTAACAGATCAACCAGTCTGCAAAGTGTTAACACTTAGACGTGCATAGCTTAGTCTTTGAGACAAGCATATGACTACTTGCAGGATCAACCAGGTAGTGGGTGTGACGAGCAGCCGCAAGGAGCGATGGCCAAGGCGCACGTAGGCACGTAACACCGGACAGCCTACTACCAAAAGAATGTCGAACAATCGTGGAACGTGCAATTAGCTGCCGAGACGCCGCGAAGTCCGGCTGTTTGAATTGCAGGTGAACTTCCATCCGTACGCCATCTCCAACGGCAAGGTACCGCACAATCCAACGCAGCCTGCCGCACCCGCCCAAGAGATTGGCTGCGAACAGCACCCGCCCACACCACACCCAGAGATCGCAAGTTAACCACACTACCCGAACAACGGCGCGCGCGAAGGAACCACGGACAGCTTCGGCCCATAGTCGGATGCCACCGCACACCCAAAACGTACCAACAGCGAAGTGCACAGCCTCATCTCTCTATCGAGAAACGCGGGTGAAGAGAGAAACGAATGCACCACACTTCCAACACGCCCGGACGGACGGAAAGCCTCCATCTGTGCACGGGAGCGCAAAAGGAACACAACCCCTCTCCCCCGTGGGTCCACATCCGCCGGTTGCCGCGGGGACCACGACGCAACGTGATCCGTCACGGTGTGAAGCACACCGAGACCACAGGATGGGGGACACGACGGGCACAAGCGCACATTCCAAAAGGTCGGGCGGATGACGGGCCCAGCCTCGCGACGCCGTCGGAGGGCACGATGTCCCGGTCCTCCTGTGAACCGAGTCTCTGCATAGTACCAGTTTCCTGCTCTGGTACCTAGGTTGTCTTTCGGAATGGACAGGCCCCGGTGGCGTAGCCCTCAGCAAAAAGGGTGCGCCAAAGGACTTACATTGGTCCACGCAAACTTGGCGCCCTGCTGTACAGCAGAGCAGAACCGGCCTGTGGCCGTGGGAGCCGCCGGGTTTGCACTGGGACGCGGAGATGAGACGGCTGGCTCGTTTTTTTCAACTGCGCGCCGAGCGCCCCTCTACTGAGTTATGGGTAGGATGCATGAGACAGAAAGTCGTTGTCGGAAAAGGAAAAATCTAAACCCGCTTTAGTATGGGGAAAATCCAGTGGCCTCGGGTCACTACGATGCTATGACTTCTTTTCCAAAATTTTGAATTGCCGTTTCCCACCTGATTGATCTGTCACTTCAGAGGGAAGGCCGCCGATTCAGGTCTCGGACCACAACTGTCGTCTCATGGTCTGGGTCTTATCGACCCCTCGTAAAATTGCCTACCGGGCCTGTTTGTCCGAATCGTGCGGACCCCGATGGCGAGGTTAAGAGGAAGATACAGTTAAAACTAATAAGGATAGAAAGTGGGAAAAGAAAGAAAAGGAACCCCAGATCCGTGTGTGAGCGCGGCGCGCGGTTCAGGCAAGGCTGGTGCACGGAGAGATTTTGTGACGCCACCCTTTCCTTTCTTTTCCTTTTCCTGTGGTTATTATTGTTATTTTATTTTATCATTATTATTTAGTTTTCTAGATTTGATTTTCTACCTGTTGGCTTGTCCTTCCGCAGGAAGCCAACGGTTTGGATTTCGAACCATTTTTTTGTGTGTGGCCTAAATAGGCTGATCCCACGTATACAGTCAGTGGGTGCGCTTCGAACTGACATCGCGCGGCAAGACCTCAAAAGGAGGGTGACCCGCGGCCGCATTGGTAGGAGGCTTATCACCCCCTTCATGGAGGGTCATAAGCCCCCTCCTTGCCATCGGACACGGGCACCCAACTGGGATAGACAAAGGTTGCACTAAAAAAAAGGGAAATGCGATCATCGGTTCCCCGTAATGGGATCATAATATCGAACCTGCTGCCATATTTCTAGGGTCTGGAACTGTCCAGAGAGGCTACTTCGTGATCGATCGATTGGGTTATAGGCACGAGTATTTCTCTGAAAGCTATTCGGTTTAAATTTTGCGAGTCATTGTGAAAACTGTAAAATTCCTGAAATACTAGTAAGGTTTGAAAAGGGCTAATCTGAGTCCTTGGTTCAGAAAGCAGAGGACAGGCCTATAAAAGGGAGGAAGAGTTGAGATACCGTCCGTGGCCGGTCGACTAGTAGTATATAGTCTGTACTACGAATGGTCTGCTATAGGAAGTTGACGATCTAGTATTGTGCTGTCTATCAAGCGGGGCAGGCTTCCCTGAGTGGCAATGGCTTTACACGGCTATAGGCCTGGCAGTTGGCAGCGCACGGTGCGCTGGGTTCCAGTGTCGGGTGAATGCCCCCTGATTACGACGGCCCTGAACTACGATGGGGGAGAAGTAGTTTGGCTGAAGGTCTGTATTGAAGGGAGGAGAGAGGAGGAGATGGGAGGTGACCAGAGGCTGCAGGCTGCCATCTCCGAAGCGCGTGACAGGGCGGTGCGGAGGTGCAAACGAGACGGGGTGACCGTGGGCTTGAGGGTGACGGTCATCTATCACGAGAGCAAGTCATCAACCGGGATCGAGACAAGGGAGGAACAACATAATGAGACAGACTCAGGTGGGGAAAGCGAAATGAGCGAGGCGGAGTGAGAGACGGATCTCAGGTCATGGAACAGACCCGAGGAGATCCAAAAGCACCACCGAGCTGCGGAGCCGGTGGAAAAGGGACCCGAGGCAAGCTCACGATAGCCGATTCTCAGAGGCCGCGGGACCGGACGTAAACAGAGTAAAGGTAAGAAACTGGTGTGAGGCAAGAGAGGGGAATCGACACGTGTGGCAAGAGGTCCAGCAGCGGAGAGGCTAAGGCAAGGGCGGTTGCGCAGGCACCTGGGTTACATGTGGCGCGCTCTGAGAGAAGAGAGCGCGAGAGAATAGCCAAGTGTGTAGACAATGCGGAGAGGTAAGGCAGCGGTTCTGCTCGATGTATGTGCTTTGGAGATGCTAACGTCAACAGAATTGCAGTATGTGATCATGACAAGCAGAGAAAGAGAGGGTCAACGCTTTTTGCGCACGGCGCTCTGAAAGCTTCTTTTTCTCATTCGACAAGCTACCCGTCTCTGTAATTCCTTGCGCTTTCGCCAGAGCGACCAGTTTTCAGGGCGCCTCTCGCTCATTCGCCAAGTGATATATTCGTGATCTTTTACTCGTATAGCAGGTGATGTCGACTGTTTCAACTCTTGAACGAGCACCACCGATCACTTGAGGAACTCTTTCTGTAACGCATGCGGACCACAACTTGTGCGCAATAGTGTTTTCTTGCTAAAGCGCTTCTTCTCGAATTATGGTGGCGAGTCGGTATTGTTTACTTTGGTCCCTGTCTTCACTCTGGTTGTCTCCTGATCTCCGGTGACGAGAGAGCACCCAACTGCACATTAAAAGAGGAGAGAGGGTCAAGTTGCAGAGTTGTAAGAGGGAGAAAGAGACTAAAACGTGGTCGTAGAGTCGCGTTCTAATGAGTCCTTGAAAAGCCAAGTGGCTGTATTACAAGATTTAGTTGACTTTACCTTCTCTCTTAAGTCTTGGTCACCTCACGCTAAGTGACTCTGTGGATACTGGTGAGGATAACTGGTGGGTTGCTAGGACGAGAAGTGCGTGGAGAGGGGAAAAGCCTGTGTGAAGGAATATTGGGAAAGCTAAGTTGCTACCCTGACCGCCAACTCTGTTCAAGATTTCTCCTGTTATCGTTCTTCGTGCTAAAAGAAGGGAAAGGAGCGTTTAGTGAAATAGACGTATGGTTTTCCTCTTTGACTGACTATAAGTTCGGACGCCACTTGGAGGTGACGGGAAACTGGTGACGGGCACGTGGSACTGTGTGACACGTAGCAATGCATAACGTGTGACATTGTGCACTGCGGTACTCTCTGGCACGTGGCACTGTGTGACGCGTAGCACTGCTTAACGCGTGACATTGTGCACTGCGGGACTCTCTGGCACGTGGCACGATGTGACGCGGCGTTGACGCTGGGTATTGATGTCATGGTGCGAGTTTAAACTTGAGGCGGAAAACTTTAAATACTAAGCTTGTGTGATGGGCAGTTTCGGACCAGTGGTTGTTATGTGCTGATTAAAGAGGTAGACTATATGCAATTRTCAGGCTTTCAGACTGACGAGATCCGCTATGAGGAATGCACCGTCTCCTGAAGAACCTTAATGGTGGTTTTAAGTTGCAAGTGTGTTGATCTCACCCGACTCGTGTGACCCTCTTACAT